AAAAAAAAAAAAAAGAACCAGTTAGCCTTCCCTGACCAGTGGAGGTGGTCAATATGCCACAATAATTACCAGCCACAGAGAGGCGCTGAAAGGGTACAGATTCCTGCCATTTCACCCTTTCTTTCTGAGGTGTGGCCTGTGCTTAAAGCCACTAAGCATCAGTGGGGCTGATGGTAGACTATAGTTAAACCAGATTATTCCCTTCATTAGAGCGCCCCTCCCCGATATCACCGCCTAGATGGATGACATTTCATTTGAAGCTATAAATTTGGCTAATATGTTCTGTTCTGTAAGTCTCACAGGAGAGAAAGGCAAGTACCCAGGAAGTAGAACTAATACCTTCAGACTACATAGATAACACCATTTTGGTGATACCCTGGGGGCAGGTTGGGGAGGTTCCTCTACTTCCAGCCACAAAGACCATCAACTTTAACCTCTACTCTTTGTGCAGCTTCCTGTAGCTGAAGAGCCCAATCTAGACTGCGACCAAGCTGTTTTATATTCTGCACTTCTGTTCTGAATGGGGCATGGCAAAAAAGTTCTTTACCTCATCAGAATCTAAGAGACAATGACAGTTTCCCAGGGGAGGTGAGTGGGAGATGGCCTCATAGAGGCTCCTTACTTCCAGGCCTCCCATCCCTCATGTTCTGGGAGGATCACAGGGCATCCTGCCAACACTCACATTTGCCACAGTCATGCCTTTGCCTGCGTGGCCTATGTGGATACATACAGAGTCTCAAAGGCGCTGTGGCAGAGCCATTTCTCTACAGTTCTGGCCCCTAATTTTTCATGTATCTAGCAAAGAATTCTTTTTATTTTTTTATTTAAAAAATTTTTTAATGTTTTTATTACTGAAAGAGAGAGAGACAGTGTGAGCAGGGCAGGGTCAGAGAGAGAGGGAGACACAGAATCCAAAGCAGGCTCCAGGCTCTGAGCTAGCCATCAGCACAGAGCCTGACACGTGGCTCAAACCCACAAACCATGAGATCATGACCCGAGCTGAAGTCAGATGCTTAACTGACTGAGCCACCCAGGTGCCCCTAAGAATTCTTTTTAGATGTCTTGTGCGGTATGCAGAATAATGCACCTGCCAAAGATGTCCACGCCCTAATCCCCAGAACATGTGAATATATTATTTTATGTGCCAAACTAGACTATGCAAGTGTAGCTAACTTAAGGTTCTTGAGATGTGTTGGGGGGGGACCACCCCAGATCATTAAGGTGGACCCAGTGTAATTACAGGGATCTTTCTAAACAAGAGGGAGTCGGTAGGGTCAGAGTCAGAGAAAGAGATGTGAGAATGGAAGCAGTGATCAGAGTGATCTATGGCCACGAGCCAGCGCATGGAGACAGCCTCTGGAAGCTAGAAAGGCAAAGAAATAATTCTTCCCTACAGCCTCCAGAAAAAACATAGCCTTGTGGATACCCTGAATGTAGCCTAGTGAGACCCAGTTCAGATGCCTGACCTTCACAACTATGAGAAAATAAATTTGTTTTCTTTTAAGCTACGAAATTTCTGGTAACTTCTTACAAGAGGAGACTGACACAGATACCTGAATTAATTGTAGCCATAGGGGCTTATAAAAATCTCTGTTTCCCTACAGAGTTTCTGATTGGGATGGTGAAAAATATTTGGAGATGGACAGTGGGGATAGCTGGACAACTTTCTAGAAAGGTCCTTTATTAGATAAGTCTTATCTCATTGTGTGTATTTTTCTCTGACCAGCGTGTCAAGTACACACCCTCTTTCTGATCTTCCATGTATGAGCAAAGGAAGGAGCTGAGGAAAGTGTACAAAGGTTTATTTGGGAATAGTAGAGAATTGTAATTTGCTACAAGCAACCTACAGCAAAAACCACAGGCTAATCCAACCAAGAGGAAGAACATTTGTTTATGGAGGAGAAAGTTGGGAGGGGTTGTTTTGAAGGGGTCCATTGGAGAAAAGGAAGAGTTCAGGCTGATGATGGTTTCTCATTGGCTGAACTGCTGGGTAGTCTATTTCTTGTAAGAGATGTAATGTACGTCTTCTGTTGGGGGCTGTAATTTCCCGTTGCAGATTCTTCTGTTGGGGGATCTGTAATTGGTCATTCTTATTGTAATTAAGGAGTGGTACCCTGTGAGAACTCCCCCTCTGCTCTCCTTTTCCCACAAGACAAAGTTTCTGAGAATAAATTACAATTCTATCAGACCAGCAGGTTCACTACCTAGTCCATACATATTCCCGGGAAGCAAATCCCTCAAACCAAGAGAAATTACAGCATTCAGCATTCAAAATTCCCTCCCCTTTCACCAAAAGACAATGTAGAGGATTCCTAATGTTATGCCCAGATCGCGATTTCCCCAAAATCCCAAGACCATCAAGGAGTCTGAGTCACGTATGCAAAGGCAAAGGGCTTTATTATGGGCTTAAGCTCGGGCTCCCAGACGTCACCAACGCAATGAATCCATGCTGAGAGCCCCGAACAAAGGAGGAGTAGGGTTTTTATTAACTCTAGGGAGGGAAAGGGGTGATGGACAGGGACTACAACGTGATAGGACAAGGTGACGGCAGAGGTTGTTACGGCGCAGAGGGATTGGTGAGTTTAGTGGAAGGTGGGCCAGAATAGTGGCCGGAACGTCCAGTACCTCCCAACCTCCAGTGATTGCTTCGGACACAGGGAAGGGTGGTGGCTCAAGCCTGCTGAGTCAGGCCTCAGAGCCTTGGGTCTTCTAATCTCTGGGGCCTTCTGAAGCCTGTCATGGCGCTGGTTTGGTTCTTCACTAAGACTTATTGTAGACTGTCAATTGCCAACTTAGTGACTTATCTGCCTCCTTCTACGACATGACTACTGACACCCTTGAAGCTCTGTCATGGGAAGTCACTGTAGAGTTAGCCTTAGGCCAACTCAAGGCTAATATGGAGAACTCTCCAACTCTGGGTCTCCCAAATGATAATAAGCGGTTTCCCTTTTCCTGGTACCGGAAAGGGATGGCCACGCTCTTAAACTTTTTAACTGAAAATCAGAATGGAATCCAGAGGTTCATTAGGCCTAACAGTTGCTCTCCAGTAACTTCTTAACCCAGTAAAGAAGACAGTAGCCTCAGCCGCACATCTAGACAAGCCATCTCATTTAAACTTGGGTCACGTCTTCACTTGCAGTGTAACTCCAGACCGAGAGACTGCAGCGTTTTCTCCCTCCTGCCTCAAGTGCAGTTTGCTGCTCCCTTCACAGGCAGGAGGCTGAACTACAATGAAAGAATGAATCACGAAGAGTGAATTTATGTTGCCACAGGGAAGGTTAAGAGCAGCTATGTAGCGGCTGTATTCATGACCAACACGGGCAACATGCAGGCACAGTTGTGCAATGAAGAGGATGATACACGTATGCGTTCACGTACGCACCACAATTGGAAAGCAACTATTATCCACTTCAGATGTGTAAGAGCACCGCGCTGTGGAGGAAAAGAAACCACCGCCGGGGTCAAAGGGCACAGCGCCGCCTTCCGGTCCAGCTCCCTCAGAGCGGCTCTCCGCGTCCCGGCAGGAAGAGAAAGGCCTCGCTCCGCTAGCGGGCGCAGGAGGAGGCGTCCGAGAGACCCGCCCAGCTCCCGAGGCCCCGCCCCTCGCGCGGTTTGCAG